TAGTCTAGTGCTGTAAGCCCAGGATCCTGCAGCATCACTTATCCACGATGACAATATACTACCCACTTTTAGAAGAATCGCTGCTCTTTAGCCGATCGGCAAGGATCGTATCGGCCTCAGTGGCGGGCATGTATTCGACATAAGACCAACGACGATCATCATTGGTGAACTGCTTGCTATCAGAAAAGTACCTCATAAGGAGCCATACCCCACCACAAGGAATCATCTGTCCTATTGTTATCCAGGTGAGTGACCGACAGAACCGCCAAGGAGTAGTCGTAAAACGAGTCCATTGCGATTAGATAGAGCTTACTTGAAACACTGAATAGCCACTTGCCCCAGAAGCTCCAACCTGCCTTTCAAAGCTATACAGACATCCAATGTAGGGATGCGGGCCAGAGGGATGTTACTGCTCACTGCCTTGCGCCACATGAATGCTATAATATCATATCGTAACTGATAATCACACTCATGGGGGCATATAGGTGATCTACTACATCATTATCGGGCAGTCTTCTAGTAAGGGTATGCATGTACTCCATAGACACCACGTCGGCTAGCAGGTCGAAGGCCTCTTCCTTGCCTAAGTCCCTTACAAGAGCTTCTACCGGCCAATCACGGGCTGCCCAACTGGCTATGTTCCCTGCAAGGGGGAGGGGTAGAGTAGTAGCATAGGGAGGTGATGGTACATGGATCATCCTTGTACGACAACTGCCGTCGCTTGCTCTTTACTCTCAGCCATTCTACAGCCTCCTTAGAGTGACCATATTCCATCAACAATACCAGGATCTATACTCGACAATACCGAACACGCTATCACTAATGGCGAATCAAGTGACATGGAACTATCCACTACTAGACACTACGAAGCAGATTACAGCTTTTACTCACCGGCATAATCCCACGATCGAGAATCCAGTACATATTAGTCTTCCCTGTATCAAGGATAGCATCCATGTAGGCAGTCAGCAGTGATACAGCGTTAGGCTCGATGTTGATACGATGCCGAATGAAGCATGCAACTTCAGCAGCATACCCTACTGCTAGTGTCTCTCCCGAGCTGAGCAATAGAGGCTACCATAGACAGGGCACTAGTGTTATAGGTACTACTATGATGTGGTGATGAAGTCGAACATGGCCTGTGGATACCTCAAGATTAGCTTGCGAGCTGTTGGTCCAGGACGGGGGACTATCAGCGGCAGAAGGCGGCGTACGACAGATTGTGAACCTAAGGAGTATGTGGCCAATTAGCAATAAGTAATTATCTCACAGACCGGTAGCAGTTGTGTTGCTAGGTGTGGGCCATAGCAAGCAAAGATATCATCCACTAGAGTGTCCGCTAGGTCCTAGGCGAATGAGAGTGGAAGCATCCCGGAGGTTATCCTTGTTGTATGCCTCCTATTCACCTGCATATTATCATTGACTATGATATTGAGGACAGCCTTCTTGAGATGAGGAGCTTGCTTGAATAAGAGACCTTTGCTGACCTCATACAACCTCTCTCTATCACCTGGCCCACTATTAAGATGTAATAGTAGTATGAAGATAGTACCACTAGCATGAAGGTCTTGAACTAGAGTCTCTGCTGCCTTGATACGAACCTTAGTTGATGGAGTGAGTGAGACGATGGTCTCTAGTGTATCGACATCTTGAAGGACTGTTGCCAGGAAGAGGGCTATACCTAGTACATCAATACCAGTAAATGTGCATCGATCATCCGACTTTGTCTCCGCGGACTGACTCAGCTGAGGCCGATCGGAAACCATACGAATCTCGCATTTGTAGGCGCAGCACGCTGATCTGTAATTCTCGACAGACATGTACGGTTGAATTAATCATATCCCATTTTACATGACGATCTCGAATGGATGTAAATACCAAGATGATTAGGCAGTGTATCAGAGGCCTATGTTCTTACTATGAGCCCAGTTAGCCTTAGATATGTCGCTAGTTCCTTCACTGATGAGCTCATCAATAAGCTCATCCACTTTCTCCCGTGAGTGAGAGACTGCTAAACCACGGAGATACTTCTGCCTCTCGTAGACAGACCCCCGCGAGCTGAGTTGTGACTGTACTTCTGCGAAATCCTTGGGTGTTACCGCTACTGCCATCACCAGACGCAAACTGTGGTAACAACTCACAGTTAGCGTAGACCTACCAATAGACTCTCAAATGGCGAGTTCTATCTCTCTACTCTCACGTGCATCTTCGACTTCAACACATCAACCCATAACTTCCACACAAAACATTTTGACAACAACAACATCACTTTAAGCATGCCTTATCACATCAACAGCAAGAATGACTCCATACACACGATCAACTGCTCCCATGAGCGTGCAACTACAACTTGTGCATTTCGTATCTCTGATCAACCAAATCGTAAGCATAAGCCACCCCTAGATCCCTGCAGCGACGGATGGACGCTGCACCCAATGAGGTACAGCCCTCGGGGTAACCCGCATGGAATTCGTCCTCGAGTTCGACAGTGAACCTTAACATGATTATGCGCATATGCATGATAGATGAATGACCTACGTGGAGGTCTTTGCGGCATCGAGTGCATGCTTGGGCTCTTTGAGGAATAATTTCTCGGCGTAGGTGAGGAGCCTACCACTGGAATCCTCAGCATAGTGAACAACACAGGTTATCTCATCAGATTTCCCAGGTAGTGGGCATCCAAAAGCCTATCAAACGAACAACACTGTGGCGAACTCCAATACTATAATCATTTACTCTCCCAGAAGCCTTGGCATCCGCCATTTCTATGTTGAGTTCGTGCAGTCCTAGGTGGAAATGACCCAATAGCGTCGAACATATTTTCTTCTCGTTCGCTTCTTTCAGCAAATCTACCACTTCCTTAGTGAGCATCACACTTCTCAGGAGAGTATGCCTAAACAAACGCCTATCACCATGGGTAGTCGCAACCATTGCAATGCAACATGCAGTATGACGAGTTAATCAAGATCCACCGATAACGCACTCGCTTCCTCGCTGATAACCCTTAGCCTTGTAAAAGATAGAACTGTCATGGACGCCCTTGTCGTGTAAGATTAGCTGAGTCCCGATCTTAGACTCGCTGATGTCACATGCGATCTCCTAAGAACAATATCACTTCATAAAATAACCATTACTGCAACCATAGTACCCTGTGAGGATCCGAAGACAAACGGCTCTTCCTCTAAAGATAACAAAGCAGTGTATTTAGGTCGGCGCCAGCTACTATAATTCCTACTACTACTACACAATAAGGATTCACCGAGATTCGTCGTGAACCGTTGAAACTGGAGGATACGACAGACCACACCCCCCGAGGTTTTGTGTGTAGAGATCAGCAA